CTTCTGGTCAGGTTTGGCCTTGGTGTTATGTCAGGGATCCGGGTATGATCAGAAATGTGTGGACTGACACAGGGAAGTAACAGGCTTTAGGAATGATGTAATAATATAATTTATTGTTAGCCGCCCAAATATACGTAACGCACAGTAAACAAACCAACCTTCCACTAATATCAATATGTGCGGGAACACAGGCGTAGTCAGGGCTGGAGAGGTGGAATGGTCAGGCAGGCCGTATGGTTCTGTCAGATACCGCCTGGCGGTACCTCTAGCAATCCAGAGGACAGGATTCCCCAGAGCGTGGAGTCTAAGCCCCAGTCTGCTTGTTCACCAGGGCCCCTGATGGTGGGGATGGACTTGGAGCAGACAGTGACCAGGTCGCGGCCCCTGAGTACACTCACCTGTGGTAGAGGAATCCGCCAGAGGTATACACCGATTAGAGCCTGACGTGAAGAGGCGGATAGGTCCGTGCAGGACGGATGGATGGCAGAGTAGCAAGAGTGGTCAGACAGGCCGGGTCGGTAACATTGGGGACAGCACAGTATAAGGCAGCAGGCAAAAAGTAGTCGGGTTACTCGCCGGGTTAGGTAACAGGAGTTCAGATCAATAGGGATATCCAGAAGAGTAGTCAAATGAGCCAGGGATCAGAGCAGGAGAAGTCAGCAAGGTCAGGATCAAGCAGGGTCGGCAGCAAGGCAATCAGGAGTACAGGACAATCAAGAACAAGATACAGGGGCTCAAGGGACAACTCCATGAGCCCATTCCTGACACACCCGCTGGCAAGCACCGGTACTGCAGCCCACACGGCAGGTGAGCCCATTCCTGACAATTAAAATGACATTTTTACCAAGACTATTGTACTACTTTAGGACGTTACCGATCATGGTTCTCAAACGGGAGCTGTTACTATTAAAAGCAGCAGTCTCTAGATTCATCTGGAAAGGAAAAAGGGTTAACAAGTCAACTCCATTTTCACTAAAGAAGCATGGCGGTTTGGGACTTCCTAATCTCTTGATCTATTTTCAGGCGGCTCAAAAAGCACAGCTATCTTGCACTACTGCCAGGGGTTACATCCCCCAATGGGTTGGCATGGAGTTGTTATCTTGCCATCCTTACGCTATTGGTGCTCTCATGTGGCTCCCCAGTCGGTTGCATCCTCCTATCCTATGTCCTACATTGTCTTATTCATTAACGGTGTGGGATAGACCTTTCTGCTCCCCACATACCCAATTAGCTCCGGTTTTTTGCAATCCCGAGTTTACTCCTGGCTTATCACCATCTGTATTCCAGTGGTGGATGAATAAGGGTTTACTGCGTATGGAGCTTTCCTGGATGGACTTCATCCTCGTTCTCTCCAGTGCTTTTTGACAAAGTATCAGATGCCTTCCAGGGAATTGTTTCACTACCATCAACTTTTATCTTTTAACACTAGTAAACTCAACTTACTTGTAGAACCTTGCACACTCACTCCTTTAGAGATCTCCTGTGGGGCAACTGGGATGATGAAGGGTCGTTTGTCCATTATCTGTGCTTCCCTTGTTGAACCACTCAATAAATTATCTTATATGACTCAATGGCAAAGGGATTTGAATAGCTCATTGGACCTGGACACTTGGCGGAATGCGGCCCATACTCTATCAAAGATTTTGATTAATACTGCTCTTATCGAATCATATTACAAAACACTACTTCGCTGGTATCTAGTTCCTACACGCCTTGCTAAAATGTATCCATCAGTATCACCTAATTGCTTCCGACACTGCAGACAAGAGGGCACTATGCTCCATATCTGGTGGAAATGTCCGGTAGTAAATCGATTTTGGATCCAAATGTTTAACTTCATTTATTCGGTAACAGGAATTAATATTCGTAGATCACCGGAAGTGGCTTTATTTCATTTGCTACCCGCTGACATTCCCAAAAAATCACTAAATTAATTCTTTACCTCTTACTGGCAGCACGTATTACCATAGCTAGATGTTGGAGACCATCACTAACTCCACTAGATGGGGTTAAACAAAAGCTAAATTGGATAATGATAAACTTACAAGCATTGTCAATAACGATCCTTCTAGATTTGAGGTGACGTGGGAACCATAGATCAGATACATCTTTTACTTAATAGTACTACGGCTGACCCTCTTTCTCTCCCTTTTTTTTTTCTGTTCTCTCCCCTTCTTCCCCCTTCTTTTCTGACTTATCCTGGATCTTTTCTTTCAATTTTTCTACTTTTAATTCCTTTTCTTCTTTTTTGGTTTTCTTATTGTTGGTAAATCTATATGGAACTGCCTATGTTTACTGACTGATGGAACATTTGCTACCCTGTGGAGGTGGTGTTTCCTGTTTACAACATCATCGACTAATGTTTTTTCATGTGCCTATATATTTTCTGAATATGAATATGTTCATTCATCCCATCTCACCATGTAGGTGGGCAGTGTTTCTATTTCTGTGTATACCAATTTTTCAATAAAAATATTGAAAGATAAAGTGTGTTCATCACATGTGTGCACAAAGATTATACATCAGCATCCATATTGATTTTTTATTTCAACCTCTTGTTCAATACCATACAAATCTTGGAGACTTCTTAACTTCTAGGGACAGATCTGGTTCTTACTGTATTAACGAAAAAACTTAAAAATAATTTGTATTATATCCTAGAATATTACACTTTATTACTGTCACCAATAAGGACAATACAAAATAGATATACTGTACATAATCATCTCTAATAACCATTCACCATTGTCCCATTGTATGTTGTTACTCTTAGCAATGATCTTTACTCAAATGGCTGCCATTACATACTTGCCAACATTTAAAAAAAAAAAACTTTTAGGGACACCATTTCCTGCTGTCATTTGTCAGTGGAGAAATTACTTTAATTGGGGGCGGGGCATTCATTTAAAATGGGCGTGGTTTTACAAGAGACATATCATTTACCTAATGCCATGTTTTAATTAAACAAATATAAGAGAGCTGTAGTTATCAGGGCTAAATAAATACAAAACTAAAAATAACAGTGATCAGTATGTATAGGAGAGGAGTGTGGAGGGTATGACAGTGATCAGTATGTACAGGAGAGAAGTGTGGAGGGTATGACAGTGAGTGGTATATATAGGAGAGGAGTGTGGGGAGTATGACAGTGGGCGGTATGTACAGGAGAGGAGTGTGGAGGGTATGAGAGTTGGCAGTATGTACAGGAGAGGCAAGTGGAGGGTATGACAGGGGGCTGAATGTACAGGAGAGGAGTGTGGAGAGTATGACAGTGATCAGTATGTACAGGAGAAGAGTGTGGAGGGTATGACACTGGGCGGTATGTACAGGAGAGGAGTGTGCAGGGTATGACTGTGAGTGGTATGTACAGGAGAGGAGTGTGGAGGGTATGACTGTGAGTGGTATGTACAGGAGAGGAGTGTATGACAGTGGGCAGTATGTTCAGGAGAGGAGTGTGGAGGGTATGACAGTGGGCAGTATGTACAATAGAGGAGTGTGGAGGGTATGACAGTGAGTGGTATGTACAGGAGTGTATGATAGTGGGCAGTATGTACAGGAGAGGAGTGTGGAGGGTATGACAGTGGGCAGTATGTACAGGAGAGGAGTGTGGAGGGTATGATGGTCTCAGTATGTACAGGAGAGGAGTGTGTAGGGTATGATAGTGGGTAATATGTATAGGAGAGGAGTGTGGAGGGTATGACAGTGATCAGTATGTACAGGAAAGAAGTGTGGAAGGTATGACAGTGATCAGTGTGTACAGGAGAGAAGTGTGGAGGGTATGACAGTGAGTGGTATATATAGGAGAGGAGTGTGGGGAGTATGACAGTGGGCGGTATGTACAGGAGAGGAGTGTGGAGGGTATGATGGTGGCAGTATGTACAGGAGAGGAATGTGGAGGGTATGATGGTGGCAGTATGTGTCAGGAGAGTACAGGACATACAGGCAGTATGTACAGGACAAGAGCGTGGAGGGTATGATGGTGGTAGAATGTACAGGAGAGGAGTGTAGATGGTATGATGGCGGCAGCATGTACAGGAGAGGATTGTGGAGGGTATGACAGTGATCAGCATGTACAGGAGAGGAGTGTGGACCAAATGACGATATGCAGTATGTGCAAGAGTGGACTGTGAAGAGTATGAAAGAAAGCAGTAAGTGAACGAGAAGAATGATCAGAGTTAGAAAGTGTTGTGTTTCATCCCTTCTTCATTTTCCATGCCCATTAGGATGGAATGGAGAGCTAAACATTTAAATAATTATAATAATCAATGCCGCTGTTCAAGAATTAAAAGGGTGTCAACCTGAATCAGCAATTTTAATTTCTTTGTTTCAAAATATCTAATAAGTTGTACAGTAAAACTAACAATTTCACCATGATCTTATTTTGCTAAATTATTTAAACATTTCCTTCCAGACCTAGAAAATCTCTCAGGTCACCCACATTTGAACACACAGTTATATTACACATTTCACAGATGATACTGCATAAAGTCAGAAGATAAAACATTTCTCTGTCTCATAGGCACAGGAAAAGGAAGGGAGAGAGGGTCTTTAGTGGTCTAACACATACACTCAGCTAACGTGTCTCCCTTGTCTGGCAAAAGGGGAGTCTGTCTTTGTCTCCCTATTCTTTTCTCCCTCATACAGAACATGCAAGGGAGGGTTTTTATGTCTCTCATAAAAGCAGGCTGCTCATTTCAAAATGCTTTCACTTTTCTCATATACAGCTTTACAGAGCTTTTGCCTCAGTTTTAATATGTATAACTAGGGTAGCACGAGTGCAAATGCTCCGATACTTGAAACCGATACCTTCAGGCTCTGTCCTTTCAACTGTCAGCTGGATTCCCCATTAACAGCTGAAATGTACATTTTAACCACCTTCCGCCCGCCATATAGTACAATGACGGGCGCAAGGTGGTTCTCTCGTTCTGATAGGACGTCAGGGAGCGCGCAGCACGGCAATCGCCGATGCGCTGTTTCCCTCGGACACAGCGGATCACGGAAAGAGCCGAAGATGTCGGCTCGGTCATGTGATCAGCTGTGTCCAATCACAGCTGATCACATGTAAACACGGAAATGCCGGTTATCGGCATTTCTCTCCTCTCGAGCTGTCACGCTGAGAGCTGGTAATCGGCTTTCCACGGAGCGGACATGTACTGTACACTGATCATTAGGGCACTGATGATCAGTATGCCCTGATGATCAGTGTGGCCCCAGAAGTGCCACCTGTCAGTGTCCATCAGTGCCAGCAGTCAGTGCTCATCAGTGCCAATGAGTGCCACATCAATGCCACATATCAGTGCATACCAGTGCACATCAATGCCACATATCAGTGCCCATCTGAGCTGCCTTTCAATGTCACCCATCAGTGCCAATCAATGCCACCTATCAATGCCATTCAGTGCCACCTATCAGTGCTGCCAGTCAGTGCCGCCTAACAGTGCCAGTCAGTGCCGCCTAACAGTGCCATATATCAGTGTCATGTATCAGTGCTGCCTTTCAGTGCCCATCAGTGATGCCTGGCAATGCCCATCAGTGCAACCTACCAGTGTCTATCAGTGTCCATCAGTGCAGCCTATCAGTGCCAATCACTGCAGCCTCATTAGAGCACATCAGTGAAGGAGAAAAATCACTTATTTACAAAATTGTATAACAAAAACTAAGAAAAAACGTTTTTTTTTTTCAAAATTTTCAGTGGTTTTTGGTTTGTTTAAGAAAAAATAAAAATTCCAGAGGTGAATTCCAGAGGTGATTAAATACCACCAAAAGAAAGCTCTGTCACAAAAATATGATAACAATTTCATATGGGTACAGTGTTGCATGACCGCGCAATTGTCATTCAAATTGTGACAGCACTGAAAGCTGGAAATTGGCCTGTGCAGGAATGGGGTATAAGTGCCCTGTAGGCAAGTGGTTAAAAAAGCTGACAAGAAAGCTGACATTTGCAGGTTATTAGGGAGCGGGGCTGCCACATCCTTAACAACTGATGACTCATTCAGCTGTCAGTGGGGACAGCTGAAGTGTAAACAAATCCCGAAAATTGGAGCTGTGAAAAAAAAAAAAAAAGCCTGCCTGACAATGTTTATCAACACTACTACTTAGCCACTATTTATTTTTAACCACTAGGGGACCACCCACAGTACATATACTGCGGCAAAGCGGCCCCTATGTGCAGGATCATGTTCTGTTTACTTGGTAGGAAGCGCGCGCAAGACCCTACCTGTAGCACTGATCCCAGCCCCGTGTGTCAATCACTGGGTCCCAGCCGGTGATTACCCGCCGGAGCCCAGCGATTGGCAGCAAACACTGACAGGGAACACAGTTGCATTATTTTCAATGGAGCTCTCCTTCCTGTCAGTTTTTAGCGTACTGTTCCGGAGTTCAGCTTTCCGAAACAGTGTGTAACAGTGAAGTACACCCCGCCCTCTAGTAAAACACTCCTCTCATACAGTTAACCCTTTGATTGCCTTTTAATGTTAACCCCTTCCTCCCCAGTGCCATTAATAGTGTCAGTGCTTTTTTTCGCACTGATCACTGTATTGGTGTCACTGGGGATGTCAGTGAACCCAAGTCAGTTCCCCCCAGTGTCAGAATGTCCACCGCAGTCCTGCCATAAGTCGCAGATCGCCGCCATAAGTCACTGATTGCCATCATAAATCACTGATCGCCACTATTAGTAGTATAAAAAATAAAAAATCCAGTATCTATACCGACATTTTTTGGGATTTTTTTTTGCAAAGACATGTCGCAGAATACATTTTGGCCTAAATTTATGACGAAATTTGATTTTTACATATTTTTACTGGATATGTCTTATAGCAAACAGTCCAAAATATTGTGTTTTTTCTCAAAATTGACAGCCTTTTTTTTTTAGCGCAAAAAAATAAAAAATGCACAGGCGATCAAATACCACAGAAAAAAAGCTAAATTCGTGGGGAAAAAAAGGACGTGAATTAAATTTTGGTGCAGCATTGCATGACCATGCAATTGACAGTTAAAGTAACGCAGGGCCATAACAGTTTCTGTAACAGCTTCCTGACCGCCCTATAGCAGAAATACTGCTACAGGGCGGCACGGGTGCGCAAAATCACATATATATACGTGATTCGCGCTCCTGTGGTTTTCACGCCCCTCCCAGATGGCATCAGATTGCCTTTCAGTACACCAGTAATCACATTTACCCCTTGATTACCAGGAACATGCACATATACAATAAACCTCCATTGCTAGTATAGTGTCTGAACGGATCAATATCTTTGATCAGATCAGCACTATACCAGCGTTCACATTAGTATAGCATCCCCAAAAATGCAGCGTTAGCGGGATCAGCCCCTGCACCTGCCAACACCTGCATTTAGCCCCTACGCTTACCCCCCCTTCTCCTCCAGCAAGTGCAGTGTCAGTAGGTCACTTGACACATTGCACACAAAACCATTGTGTTGGCAGAAAGACGCCTGATCTCTGTTAGCACTTGATTTTGATGACTCTCATATGCAACAGAGTGCCAGTACTAGTGCCACACTACCTTTTGCTGAACTGGCGAGCACTAGTGGCCTAGAACATCCTGGTTTTTCACATACCTCTTAGATTGTAAACTCCCAGGATCAGGCCCACCTAACCCTCTTGTATTGAACTGTATTGTTGCTGTATTGTCTCCCGTCATATTGTAAAGCGCTGAGCAAAATGTTGGCGCTATATAAATCCTGTATAGTAATAATAATAATAATACCAGCACTGCAGTATCACTTGGTGATGTGGCGAGTCCCATAAGTGTAGTACAAGCTGGTGTGGTGACGAGCAAAAGTAGTGTCCCACAGTCACCAAGAATTCGCACACAGGCCCGTGGAGCCCCTAGTATCCTTTCGGATGTGCTTGCAAATCTCAATTGGTAGCCCACAAATTCTGCAGCACCCGTTCTTCGCCCATTCACTGCCCAACCCGGAATTCAGGTGGAAACAGCAATTTTAATTACTCCCCTTGATTTTTTGATCTGTATGCATTGATTGTGGATCAAAGCATTTTATATGCACAACAATTTATCGCCGCCAACCCAAATTCAAACCTTGCCAGACCATTCGCATAGAAACCCATTACAGTTTCAGAATTTACATTTCTTGGGGGCCTAACCCTCAACATGGCCATTACTAAAAAAAAATTAATTACAGTTGTATTGGTCCATAGACCTGATTCATCATATGCCCATGTTCTCTGCTGCCATGGCCAGCATAGATATGAGAGTATGATGTGTTTTATGCATTTCAACGACAATACACTCTGTCGTCCTTCGGGTGACCCTGAATTTGACTGGCTCCACAAAATTCAGCCCCTCACAAACACCTTAACCAAAAATTTGCAGATGTCTATACTCCCCAGCAAAAAAAATCTGCATTGATGAGTCCCTCGTTAATTTTTCTGGCCACCTTGCATTCAAACAACTGTGAGAAGGCAACATGCTATACATATAAGTTTCAGATTTACGAGGGAAAAGATAGGCACGTGGAGCCCCCCGGATGCCCAGACTACATGGGGAGCAGTGGCAAGATAGTTTGAGACTTGGTGTCATCCTTTTTCCATATGGGGTACCACTTACACGTGGACAATTTTTATTCAAGCGTGCCACTATTTAGACATTTGTACAATTTTGGAACTGGGGCATGTGGCACCGTGTGACCTAATGTGTGCCCACCATTAGAAGTAGGTGGATGCAGGGCAGTATATTTTAATGGTGGGCATACCACCCTTTTTCTGGCAGAGATTTCTTCTCTTTTTTTCATTCAGCCTACAGGCTGCATACAAAAAAAAAAAAAAAAAAAAAAAAAAAGAACATAGCATATATACCCAACAAGGATCAGTGATGTACATCCCTGGACTTTGAATAGTTATACCAGGATGATGCCTACAGCTGCAGGCATCATCCTGGTATGGTTTTTTTTTTTTCAGCTGGCGATCGGCTTTCATGTAAAAGCAATCTTAGTGGCTAATTAGCTGCAGGATTGCTTTTACAAGCAGTGGAAGATAATGCCCCCCCCCTCCCCTGCTGCCTTCCACAGCCTTCTCGGGCAGTCCCATGCCATCGGGGGAACCTGAGAATGCAGCCGGTGTTTCTGCCAGCGGACCATAGAGCAGATTGGAGACCAGAATGGTGGCAACATCTCTATAGTCTAAGAAATCGGAAGCTACGAGCATTTCATCACTTCAGTTTTGCAGGATATAAACAGCGCCATTTGTAAATTGGGAGAGCATCTGATCACACCGATCTTGGTTTGATTAGATAATGTAAGGGCAGAGGAGAGATCTAGAGTCTGATAGACCCTAGATTTCTCAAAAAAGAATATATGACAATGCCCATTGAAGTTATAGGGGATATTTGCATTCCCTGTGATAGCATTAAAAGTGATAAAAAAAATGAAAGGGACAGTGTAAAAATAATTTAAAAAATCAAAATAAGTGAAAAAAAAAAAATGCCCCCCCCCACGTGCGCACATCTGTGTGCGCGAGCGTTGACCCTGTGCCGGTATGTAAACAGCAGCGTTGCATCATGCATTCGAGGTATCGCTGTGAACATCAGATCAAGGGTGGTAATTCTAACACTAGAACTCCTCTGTATATCTATAATGGTAGCTTGTAAAGGCTTTTAAAAGGTTGCCTATGGATATTAAAAATGTATGCAGTTTGTTGCCATTGCACAAGGCATGTGCAGTTTTAAATCATGTCATGTTTGGTATTTATTTACTCGGCATACCATCATCTTTTATATTTTACCAAATAATTGGCCAACATATTGTGTTTTTATGCATTAAAAGTAAAAAAATTGTTTTTTTTTTAATTTGCTTTTGAAAAATCACTGCGTGAGTATAATGTGGCATAAAAAATTGTAGCAACCATCATTTTATTCACTAGGGTGTCTGCTTTAAAAAAAATACAATGTTTGGGGGTTTAAATTAATTTCTTAGCAAAAAATACTGATTTTTTTCATGTGAACAAAAAGTGTCAGAAAAGGCTTGATCTTCAGGTGGCTAGAAGAGTGAATGATGTGTGGAATAAACTTCTAATGCTGGGCATAAAATGCCCCCACCCCCCAAAACGACCCCTTTTTGTGGAAGGTAGACACCCCAAACTATTTGCTGAGAGGCATGTTGAATCAATAGAATAATTAATTTTTTTTACCACAAGTTTTTGGAAAATGACAAAACTTTTTTTACACAAAATTGTCAATTAAATGATTTACTGCTCACACATGCCATGGGTATATATGGAATTACTCCCCAAAATACATTCTGCTGCTTCTCCCAAGTATGGGAGTACCACATGTGAGAGACGTTTTGGCAGTCTAGCCAAGTACAGGACCCCAAAATCCATTAAGCACCTTCAGGCTTTTAAAGGGCTTTATTTCCTCATTACACTTCCAGACTACCTATCACAGTTTCGGAGGCCTTGAAATACCAGGATAGTA